CCATGAATAATTCCAGTCCAGGCATTACTGCCTTCTTTTAAAATGTAACCTCTGCCCCAACTCCTGCCTGCCAAGGTAGGGTGAGCCCCAGAAAGTGAACTGGAGGCAGAGCAGCGGCTGGGTTCACTGGGGCTTCTTCTTTGACTTCACTCCACGTTGCCTTCCTCTCCCCTCTTCACTTTGCTTGATCCTCTGCAGGCTTAGACTTAGAGTATCTCTGTCAACCCATGTCTTTTCTTCCTGCCCACTGTCTTCTGGCTCACAGCTTGTCTCATCTGTGAAGCTGAGGTAGCTGTCCCTTGGCTCATCCTTGGAAACCTATCTGGAGAAGGACTGCTGCTCGCTATCTAAGCCTGGATTCTTCCCCTTCCACATTCATCCAAGCAGGTTGGAATAAAGCCACTTGAATTAGAAAAGGAATGAGATTGCTTGCTGGTCTCAAATATGGAGTAATTACATCACATTTCTAAAAGATGTGCAAATCCCATTGAGATAGAAATGCCACCTAAATGTAGACATATAAGTCATTTCACAGTACTATTCCAAGATGTCCTTAAATTTATAACATTTTCAAAATTGAGATAATCTCACAGTACCTGAATATTTTTATGATTCAGGTTTTAAAACACGGATGTACACTTTTGGATATAATAAAGGATATATGGAAAATCACTATCAGAAAGTGATATAAAAGGATTTTTTTAACTATTAATGTCCCTGATAATAAAACATGTGACAGATTAAAATACAGTAGTTGTATACAAATATGTGATTTCTTTTAAATTAGAAACTATTTAACTATTTGATCTAAAAATGTGAAGCAACATAGCAAGAGGCCTAATATGACTTAACTGTGCTGCCAACCAAATCTCATCTTGAATCGTAGTTCCCATAATGCTCATGTGTCATGGAAGGGGGAGTGGGACTAAATTACCCAGTGGGAGATAGTTTAATTATGGGGGCGGCTACCCTCATGCTGTTCTTGTGATAGTGAGTGTGTTCCCATGAAATCTGATGGAGGAAAGGGGCTTTCCTCCTTTGCTGGGCACTTCTCCCTGCTGTCATGTGAAGAAGAACATGTTTGCTTCCCCTTCCGCCATGATTGTAAGTTCCCTGAGGCCTCCCAGTCATACAGGAACTGTGAATCAATTAAACCTCTTTTCTTTATAGATTACCCAGTCTCTGGCAGTTCTCTATAGCAGTGTGAGGATGGATTAATGCAAGGCCCATTCAATGTTTATCTCACTGTATTTTAGCATGCCTAGGGTTAGATTATAAAAATATCCCAATACCATCACCATTTAAATGATGTTACTATTGTCCAGGATGTATACAAGTCTTGTCAATAATACTTTTACTTGCCATCCACACTTGCAATTTATTCTCAAATATAATTGGTGATGCAATAAATTAGAAGCAAGTAAATAATGCTTACTCATCAAATCATATTATATACAACAGGGATTTAGAGTAAATGGAAGAGTTACTTGAATCCAGGCTTTTTGTGATATCCAAATGTGCTATTTTTATGGTGCTTTCAGCCACTCCAGCAAGCAGATACAAAGAACCACAATACTGATAATCATTGTGAGTAATGAATTCATTTATCCATTCAGTACTTCATTTCCCTGGCAAGTATGTGGGTATACGTTCCCACTGCAAGGTACTTTGCTAGGTGTTGTCAGCAGATCAAAGGAATGTGTATGTCCTGTTCTCAAAGACTAAATGATGCGACACTCAGGAAGCAGACCTTTGGCGTGCTCATTGTAAGCGTTCATGGCTTAGTTCATGAAGGTCCGAGGCATTTGGGAATTTTTACTCTCTTCGAGGATAAATTTGAGTCTTCTGATGGCAGAGCAGAGTAAGAAGCCAGTCACTTAGCAAGGGCCCGCGCTGATTAGCCCATTAGTTGCTATTATTCTCCTCAAGCTCACATCTTCTTTTGTTAAAGTCATCCAAGGTTACCATTCAATAAACTTAATAAGAAATATGAGGCCGGGCACGGTGGCTCATGCCTGTAATTCCAGCATTTTGGGAGGGCGAGGCGGGCAGATCACCTGAGGTCAGGAGTTCAAAACCAGTCTGGCCAACATGGTGAAACCCCCTCTCTACTAAAAACACAAAAATTAGCCGGGAGTGGTACCGTGTGCCTGTAAGCCCAGTTACTTGGGAGGCTGAGGCAGGAGAATTGCTTGAACCCAGGAGGCAGAGGTTGTTGCAGTGAGCCAGTATCATGCCGTTGCACTCCAGCCTGGGTGACAGAGCCAGACTCTGTCCCCCTACTCCCCCCAAAAAGAAAAGAAATATAACAAAATTGTGGCATTCTCAACAACATGAGGCACTTGGGCTTTATGAGGACTTGTCTGTTAGGAGGAGGCCTGGGGGCTTCCAAATATTTCAAGGTGAACCCTATGGGCCCAGCTGTTTTCAGATCTGGAGTCTCTGTCTTAGCTACAGAGTGAAGAAAACTGACTCCTTCACAGATCATCTACTGCCTCAAAAACTGGCCAGTGCACTTCAGGTCATTGTCCTTCTGGTGATGTTCTGAAAGTTTAATAGGTTGTGTAGCTATCCTGAAGAGACTTCTAGGATTCAGGGTCTACATGGCTAACTATGGAGCCGACCAAAGCCAATGGTTGTCTAGTAATGGATCCAACCTCCCTAGTCACTTTCCCTTGAAGAGTTCTAGGCTTCTTTCTTTTTCTTAGCTGCCCACATGAAGGCTCAGTGCTCTGGGCTTTCAGGTCTGGATTTTCTGTCTTAAACAGTCACTTATAGGAGAGTCTTTCAAGTTAATATAGCATGTAGTCAACCTGTTTATTCAGAGGGAATATGAAGGAAATTTTGTGGCACAGCGGGCTCCACTTCTCTTCATTCTAGAAAGGGTCCCTTTGAACAGGAGACAGACGTTTGAGACAGTTTTCACCTCAGCAAATATTTTCACTGGCATTTCTATGGGGAGTATATAAAAACAAATCCCAAAACACTTTTTATATTATTTTGAACATGTTTAAGTGCAGTTTCACTGGAAATTAATATTTCTGGAAATCTAGCTTTGAGTACTATCATCAAAGTTTAACCCAAAGGATTTTAGAGAGCTGTTGGCTAGAATAATCCATTTGTATCCACGAGAATAAATCTTCAAAAATAATTTAGCTTCTGATTGAATCTTTCTTCTGTGAATTTATCTCAGGATGCATTTGAGTTTTATTTTGGAAAACAATCTTTAAATAAATCTGAACAGGTAATACAAAATGATGGAAAGTACATTTCTGACAGCAATAGGGAATGCAGAGTTTCTCATCCTCAAGAAATACAGGCCTTAGATTTGCACTGGAGAAATGATCTAGTTTCAGAGGTAAGGTGTTTATGGAAATTGACATGTGAATATTTGCAAATTTGAAGCTTTGCAGAATAAAGTCACTTTATTTGTATACTCTGAAATAAATTCCTATTTTCTTTCATGCTTTTGTTTGCATTCAGGAGATTGCCAACTTCAAATAAAAGACTAGCTACAGTGTTAGATTGTCTGATCTAACTCTAACATAGGAAAAATTGACAACCATGGTTTCAAAAAGTTCATTTTCTGCCTTTAGCCATAGAGAACAAGGCACCCTCCTGTAATCAAATATACACAAACGTTTAACATCAGGTCTTTACACTATTTCCAGAATTAATGCTACTGTGTATTTTCAGGTGAAGGGATCATTTCATGAGTAAAATGAAGGCATATTGGAAATAAGGACTTGCATGATGATAGAAATTATAAAATTGTTCTAGTGCAGCATCCCTCCTGCTCTGCTTTAACGTAACATTTTGTAAAAAAATTTGATTACTATTAAAGTAAAATCTAGACAATAAATGGTTAGGTTTTCTGTTGACTGGCATACTTGTAGACCTCTTTGGTGACCTAAATTTGAACAAGGCTGGATTCTGATGGCTTAGTATGTTCCCCATTAAATATAAGAAAATCCAGTTAATTAATTAGCCCTTGGTGTTAAATGAGTTTTTTAAGCCTGAGAGATGAGGGGAACGTGGGATTTGTGGTGACTTGAGAGTGAACATTAATGATGTTGAACCCAGAGTGACTGTTAATATGGGCCACCTTGCAGCTGGGAGTCCAGTGACAGAGGGTGGGCAGGAGCAGCAGCAAGAGCTCACGGAAGGAGACAAGTGTTCACTTATCACAGATGCTGCTGAACTCTCATTTTCTTTCATCTTCAACTATATTATATTGCGTTCCATTGTTTTATTGTTTCCCCAGATATATTTTTAAAGTAGCAGGACAGTCATTTAGTGTTCCCATAGCATGCAACATGCTCATGTCAGTTTTTGCTTAATCAAAACCTAGACTAATCATGGCACATTCCAGAAGGAGAATAGATAGGCCTTTTCTATACAGTCCTAGGTCACAAGAAAGACAAATTTCTTGGCAAATTTACTAATTTACTATATATACCGACTTGGTAAGTTTACTTATTCTTTAGTAAAACCATAAGAAGCATAATAGGTTGATGGATTTGGGACATGATTTATTTATATTATTTCTATTTCTATTCTAGTTATCACAAGAGAAACAACACTTGACTATTGGGGAAGTACTCGATTTGTGTTTTAAGAGCTAACTAACTTACTAGGAAGAAATAACGTATTTTAGTTCCAATTGCCATTCTCATCTTTCACATATTATGACTATTATTTTATTCCTTTATATTGACATAGGTGAAAATTCAGAATCCATTCATTCAGCAAGCATATTAGATACTTATTCTGGTTTTTATGTTAATCTTTGTTGTGCAATTTTCCCCTGAATTTATTTTTTAAATATGGAGTATTGAGCAAGATGTTTCAGATATTTCAGAATCAGGTTAAACTCTTCTACTTACCAGAGCTCCTAGATTTAAGTCAGCCTCAACCTCTCCTCAGAATATCAGCTTCGTAGAGACAGTGATATTTATCTACTTTTTCTCTTGCTGTTTCCCCACATGTACCTGCAACAGTGCCTGCTGCATAGGAGACCACTGATAGTGTGTTTTTTCATGAAGAATCAACTCAGTCTCTCAATTTGCCACAACTCTGAACCTGTAAGTATTGTATTTTTCTGAGAATAATTAGTAAAGTAGCCTCAGTCAATGACAGCACTTGAAAGAAGTTGGAAAAGGCATTTATTCCTGTTTAACCCCTTTTTAAAAACACTAACCCCTCCCATTCTTACAAGGGTCAATTAAAGATACTCAATATATTCCAGTCTAGAAGCGAATTGTCTGGATTCAACAGTCCATTAATGGTAATTGAACAAAGTTAACTTTTAGTGTCTTTTTGAAGTAGGTATACATAACGTGTATCACAAAAGAGGTGAATTGTTTAGTGAGAGCAGATGAAGTTAAGATATTTAAATCAAGTTATTTTAGAGAACTCTTAAGCTAATTATGCTCAGAAAAGTAGCTGCTTCTTGGCTTATAAAAGATAGCACCTCTTTCAAACAGGTGTAGCTGGGGTAGGATGGTACACTTAGCAAGCCCCCTCAGTACTCTGTGTGGCCACTTAAGAGAGATTTTAGAGATTTCCTAGATTGTCTCCAAAACGTTACTCCATTTTTGAGGGATTGCCTGAAATATCATTGATGGCACTTAAGCTTAAAGATTAATCCCTTGTTAAAATACAGATATCCATGGGAAGGATGACATTTTAAGCTGCTCCTGTCATTTTTATTTCATTGAAGGCAATGGCTAAAATCAGGTTTTGAGTGAGGCAATGAAATCGGAGATAACAAAGCCTTTGGATACTCAAGAGAGAAAAGCCCTTCTAAGGACACAGGCTTCCTATATCAGGCCTGTGGTGGGGTTGGCGTGAGTTCTGTCCTGGGGCTGAGTCCTGGAACACACAATCTAGATTCGTTTTTTCCCATTTCTTGGCACAACTATCTGATTAGATGAGGTTGAAAGTCCTTGCAAAAACTAAGTCAGTTCTCATTATTTTTTAATTTTAAAATGGTGTTTGGCCTTACCTTAATTAGTCCTTGTATTCAACAAGGACAGGAAGTGACCCAAGGAGATATTTATCTCCTCAGCCTTCTTCATCTTGCCTAGGGTAACTTTCAAGTAACAGCTACTAATACCGTACCACCTATTCCTTTTTAAAAATTGCAACCCTGGGAGTTCTATTCCTAAAGATTCACAATGTTTTAGGGGAAGATCCTGCTCCTGGCTCTAATGCTGGAGTTTGTAATACTGCCATTTTTACTGAATTGAATGAAATGGCTAAAATCAGTTTCTAAGCGAGAACTGATATCGCTCATCTTTGATAAAACCCCAACACAATGGCTTGTTGTATTGTGAAATGGTTAGGAATTGAGTGATTATACTTTTGATCTATGAACACTCTTGAACGTGTTGATTTTTACTTTGGTAAAACTGTGTTCTCTTTTTCAGGCCACAAGCTTTTCTTTCAAAAATGTATACCCAGCCACCCCCAAATAAATTCACCATTTCTATACTAATATTTCATATAAGGAACCTTGCCTTTTTATTTCAAAGGCAGTATTCTTCTATTTCTCCAAAGGTGAGTCAAAGATTAGAAATAAACATGTAATAACAGAAAACTCTTGGTTTGGGTAGACTCAGACGTCTGTGAGAATAATAGCACGAAATACTCTGGAAAACATTTATAATTCACCCTGTGTTATGCTGTGGTATACATCTAAAAAAAATACATACAGATTGAATCCTCGAAGTCAGAGAAGCTAAAAGACTCAGGCTTTACTTGCAAGAAATTTACAGTTAATGTGTGAATGACTGAAGTAAATGATAGAAATGATATTTCATAAACGAGGTTCCAATAAATAGTGACGTGGGAGTTTAGAAAAGAAAGCAAATATATTTTTTCTGGCTAAGAGATTTACAGAAGCAGTGAGTAGAAGGCTTTGTTGGGCTTCAAAGTTCACATATTTAAAATGTCCAGACATGGAGGAAGAGAACTTCAGGTGGAACAGAAACGTGGCAGTGGACAAGGGTGAGTGAAGATAGATGAGATGTGTTGTCCATTTTTCATGAGAATGAAAGCTCATTCATTATGAATGAGATGTGTTGACCTAACATTTGGAAGGACAGTAATAATTGCCCAGTCCATTAGTGTGCCCTTGGTGGTGTAGGCAATGGGGACAGGTCCTGGATATATTAAACAGGACAGAATCATTACAATTGTGCATTAGGAAATTTAATTCTACAAAGATATATGGTAAATTAGAAAGGGGAAGAGTCTAATATTGGCAGTCCAGTTAGAAGGGCCTTTGAACAGCCCATTGAATATCTGGAACGTTGAATGCTAATATTAGGAATATTTCCAAGACAGAGGAAATGATAAGCAGACAATGATTTTATATGTGTGTGGAAACCAGTTGAAGGTAGAGTTACAAATAAGACTAGGACTAGTAAGTGAGAGAATGGAGTGTAGACAACTGAAGATGGAACCTTGATTCATTTATATGAATCAGTAGATGGAGAGAAATGAGTTAAGGGATGTTCACCTTCCAGATGACATAGTACAAAAGTATGCACCAGTTACAATAGTGCATGAACCCTTAGTACTTAGTATCCTTTCCATTCATAGCTGCAAAAAAATCATGCCATGCCTTGGTATTCTCACTCAATATAGTGTCAATAATCAGAGAGGTGATCACATGAGCAACATGAGCAAATTCCATCTATTGGGTCCTGGAAACAGAGAAACAACGAATCTTAACACAAATCTATCAGTATAATCTGAGTGTTAACTAAAGGTAATCGAGCAAGAGTAAATATGGTGGTCTGTAAACATGCGTATCTGCCACATACAATGTCAGGAAAACATTGTCACCTGGTATTAAAAACACTAAATATCCCCATAACATTAATTCAGCTACTGTGCATGTAGATTTTACCATGGACTCAACAAATTACATGGTAAGAGCTTGTAAAAGATATCTGGGAACTTCAGAACAGAACTCAGAGCAATGTGAAATACTATCCAATCCAACATGGTATATTTCAAATGTGTGCATTTAGGGGACTCAAACGATAATTCTTTTTGGACTTTCCCAGTTCCCTGTTCCTCCCACTATCACAATCTATTTTTCTCAACTTTCTTTGCAATGTATCTGGGTTCCTGTATCAAAACCTTAACTCTAAGTGATCACATTATAATTGTGAAACTTAGGTTTAGTTTGAAGCTTAATTGCCAGTGCAACACTAACCGTACAATGTAGTTTTATAACACAGACTTTTCAGAAATGATATAACTATAGTGAGGATAGAAAATACCTACCTCAGTGACTGAAAATCACAGTGGGAGTAAAAGTAGGTAGAGCTAGACATGTAAATGTCCCTAGCTAAAAATTTCAGGTTCTATTTCTAGATTGCTTTTGTCTTTACGATAATTCTTTCTAACAAGACTAGGAATCATTTTATTCAATGTGGATGCAGAGAATGACAAGGGATAGACCTCTTGAGATGACAGCCTGACAGCCTTTAAATCAAGGAGGATCTCTTTTTTAGCAAGCATGAAGATTAAACAGACTAATGAATCAGAGCTTTAGACCATCTAGTCCTGGGAGATCACATCAGAGTCCCATCAGCCACGGTCAGGTCAAGGAACATTCTTTCCTGTCAACTGGCAAGTCTCCTATTGTTGTGTTGACAGTCTTGCTCTTCTCTGGGAAATTATTCTACTTACTGGAGACAGATGCCGCAGCACATAATTTTATAGTTCTAAGGATCTAAAAGGTAAGCTTTCCTTAACCAGTGTAGTTGGGGGAAAAATGTGGTTGTATGTATTTTATATTCTGGAATTAGTTTCTTTCCACCATATGTCAATTTTATTTTTGATAGAGAAATTTTTATTCTACTTGTCTAAATGTTCTCATAAAAAGGAAATATCCAATGTGCTAGGTGCCTTCAGAGTTTCCTAGAAATTCCTTGATCTGTCACCATTCAGTGGACATGAATGTAAATTTTAAGAGACTTAAAGTTTTCAAGAGGGCTTGGAGTCAAATTCCTTCTCACCTCCCAGTTATATCTCTGGATTAATCAAAATTCATGACGCAGTTCTTTTGAAGTTGTTAATTTTATTTGAAACAGTTATATATGCTCAGTACATAGGGAAGCATAAATGCAGACTTTTTTTTTCTTTCCTCCTTCCAGCTAGTATTATTCTGGAAAACAAAATTATGTAAAAATAGCACTGAAGTTGCAAAGCAGATATTAGATTTTTGTTCTAAAATGAATCTCGATGATGCTTATCTTAATGAATAGGAGATAGGAATTTCTTTTAATTAAACAATTCATTGTTTCAATTAAACAAACTTCATTTTGTTTCATTGCCATCCTTTAAGTATGGGCAACTTTTGTCTTCCACATTCTGCTATTTCCTGTTGCTTCTCTGCTGACATTTCGCCAGCAAACAGAATAGCAGGCTATGAGTGTGCATCACCTAGTTTTAATACAATATTAGTATCTGATCTTTAACTCATTAAATGACAAGACTTGCCATCTTTGACTTGCTGCTATTTAACATTGCAGACCTGTCTCTAATAGCTGTAACACATATTACTCACTGAAACATTCGTGAGCAGTAAGCATGACAGAATAAGAATTAGTTTAGCAGGAAAAAGCAAAATGATTTCATTTCCAGTGCAGAGATATATTTCTGCACTTGCTGTGATCATATTTCTACATCACAACTATTGATTCAGGGGTTGCTGTAAACTAATCTATAATAATTCTATTCGTTGTTACTCTACATTAACATGTAAATATACGTATTAATTTAAAAATACAGATACAGACTCTAAGATTTCAACAAAAATTATTAAACATTTTTAAAATTTGCTTTTCCCTTTTTTGAATCCACAGATGCTTTTAATGAATTGGTGCTTGGGTACTGAGCCAGTTTTAACTCACTAGAGGCCTGTGTCATTTATTTTCTTGTTTAACCATGAAAAGAACATCAAAAGAGTGGCTCAAAACCAACCAACCAACCAACCAACCAACTCACCCCTTTTCAGGTCTCCATAGAGATTTATGTCCACTCAATGAGCTTATTATGTGGTAAGGGTTGTTAGAGATTCCAAAGAAGCAGAAGTCACGGCCTCTCCCCTCGAGTATTTGTCATGTTGCAGGGAGATGTGAAATACACACATGAAATAACTACGGAACACACGCAAGTCAGCATATTAATAGTGGATGATATTACAGAGCGGATGATATACATACATTGTGAAGAAATATAAAGTAAGGGAAATTTTGCCTTGTCCTGTGGTCAGAGAAGAAAGGAAGCTATTAATGTAATCTCTGAAGGAAATATACATTTAGGCTTGGCGAAGTGAAGTGAGGATGGTGATCAACAGTTAGAGGTCTAGTGTGAGTTCTTGCAGAAAGGCCCAGCGGAAGAAGGAAGGCAGGCCCAGGAGTGAGCTCTCTTCATCTTCACCTGGAACCTCTTTGACGCTAGATGGGCTGACGGGGTTTATGTGCCTCTTCCCTCTCACTTGGGTTGCTGCTTGTTTTTCTGGAAATTATGTGTTCTTGGGGATTCTTTCTGCGGCTCTCATTCACTCCATAGTGTGACAAGAATGTGCCTGGTGGAAAGCAATACAGATTGTAGGGCCATCCAGCGACTCTGCCATGCCCGTACTTTCTGTTCCCCTGGACACCTAAGGCATACTGGATGGCATCCGACTGCCCTGCCATTGAGATGAGTCAGCTCTGCTCTGAACACTCCCTCATTTAGATGACATCATGCCGAGTGGCATACATGGTTGTGGCTGTGCAAGAAAATCATACATGACCTGCGGTTGTGACAAGCAGTGGCGAGAGCACTGGGAAGGAGCCATGGAGTTCTAGCTCCTTCTACAGTGAGTCAATCCTTATCTTGCAGAGACCTCATTTTCCTCATAGAACCTAAGGAGGTTGGGCTGCAGTATCACTAAGGTAACTTTCAGAAATTATTTTCTATTATTTTAAATTTGTTCCAAAGTGAGAAACATTAATAAGGCAAAGGATATCTTCCCAGCACGATACTTAATTCATGAAGAAGTAAAATAAAGTACAAATCTTTAGCCAATGAATTTGATGTAGTCTCTTCCCTATGTCTACCACCATTTGAGCAGGGAAACCTATAAAATCCAGGCCAGTATCAGTGCCATCATCCTTAGCCAGGGGTTTGCAGTAGTTTCTCATGGATATGGCTGGCTTTTCAGATGGACCTGGTGAGATATTGCACTCCCCAGCAAGAGGAGGCAGCTGGGAATTTGGATTTGAGGCACAGAGAGAACAAGGGTCTGGAGATAGAAATTTGCAGTTCTTACAAAAATTGGGCTTCTTGTAGAATCTGACCTTAAAGACGTCCTACTCTGCTTCCTCCATTAGGGAAATTGGAGGTTAAATAAACTGCTGTATCCACCTAGTGAATTAGTGGTAATACTCAGAAACCCAGATTTTAGTCTCCTGATCTAGCCCACAGACAGTACTTCCATTTAATTAGTCAAATTGATTGAAAACTTAATTACACATAATCCCACACAAAAGGGAGTTATGGTAATCACACATGCAAAGCTTCAGGGATGTAAAGGAGAGGAGGGCCAAGCTGATGATAGCCAAACGACTGAGAGAGCAGAATTCCCATTGTAGCCACCTTCTCTTCATGGGGGAAGCACTTAATAAAGGAATGTGGGTTTTCTGGTTGTAACATTTTATAAGGTAGAATTAAAAACATGAGACAAGGTTTCAGGTAAAGTGGAGAGTGTCATTAAAAAAATCTTCTAGAGGAAAATTCCCTTAACTCAGACTGAATCTGCTAGAGAACTGGTTACGGTAACCTAGCTTGGACATTCTTAGGTAAGATACGAAGCTTGCTCAGATGCCATTAGGAGATACCCAGATATGCTCAAGCCCCCCTCCCCAGTGTTCTTATGATGCATTCATACCCTCACTGTGGTGTTTATCATAATGATTTGGGAGACAGCCTGAAGCATCTCGTAACTTGGAAAAATAATTCTCTTAGGAAAGCCAGTGAGGCCACAAATCTGAGGATTCGAATTTCCCACACCAAATACAAAATGAAATAGAAGATTATCATATATAATAAAACAAAACATTGGCTTGTGTCTCTTTTCCTTTCACATGAACACAAGCTCTTACCAACAAGCAACCAAAACCCTGAAGTCTGAAGGAGGAAGCAAAAACAGTCTTTGTCTTCACAATGCTTTTACCACCTATTCATGACTTAATTTCTAAAAGGTTTCCAAAAAGTGTTTTTACTTTTGGCCAGGCACAGTGGCTCATGCCTATAATCCTAGCACTGTGGGAGGCTAAGACGGGTGGATCACTTGATCCCAGGAGTTCGAGACCAGCCTTGGCAACATGGTAAAACCCCGTCGCTACCAAGGCTACAAAAAGTACTCAGTCTTAAAATAAATAAATAAATAGTTTTCTTTTTTAAAAAAATTGTTTTTATTCCAGGATAATTTTTAATTGTTTTTCTTACAATGTTTCTGCAGAAATAAAATTATATTATACAGTCTTCACACTTGGTAGCTCTATCTAAAGACTGCCAAATTAACTACTTGGAAAGTTGGATCATAATGAATCGACTTTATTGTGAGGCATATCCCTAATCAAACCACACACAGAAACACACACACGCGCACACACACACACACACACCCCCCAGAACATAACACTAGGTTGGCCCTACTTATGTGTTTCTTTTTTATTTCTACCCACTGAATTTAGTAAAATAAATTTGCTTAAGCATATGATGTTAACTAAGAAAAAACAAAACTAAAATAAAAACACATTTTGGGGTAGGATTATTCTTTTTTATTAGTTTGTTTCATTCTAGATATAGGAAAAAATAATTAGAAGTTATAATTTTCCTAAAGTTAAATACAAAAATGATTAATAAAGATTTAAGGGAAAAGTAAATACAACTTTCTATTCTACACAATCTACATCTCATCAAATTCACAGCAGAGATAACTGAATATACCAAAGATTTTTAATTGGATTAGCCATTGATATAATCTCTTGAGTACATTCATTTGACAGATGAAGGCTTTGTCTGTCAACTCAAAAGAAAATATTACCCTGGAAATGTTAAGTTGAGAAGCATTTCAAAACCTTCCTTTATTCAAATTGTAGCAGACTGTTTTGACAAGAAACTGCAGAGAGTATTTCCAGGCAATAAAGGGCCAGGTCTTTTTTCTTCTTAGGAGAAAGGAGAAAGGGAGAAAGATTGTCATTTATCTTCATGGACATTTGTCTTGCCAAGACATTAATTTTTTTTGGTACATAGTTCATAAGTACATAATGTATTTGATGATGGTGGTTTTTTAGAAGCTACGTTAAATTCTCCTCTATGGCTAAAGATACCAAAATACATCCGTAGATCTTGTCCAGGGTGGATATCTAATCTGGCTAAGTGAGATGACTTTTAAAGTAAATATATATGTTTCCTTCTTTTGATAGAAACAGTGATGTAGCTTTTTGGATTGTGTGAAGACTTAGGACCCTGAGTTTAAGCTTCCAAATTAAGAAAAAAGCAAAAGGCATATACTGCTACTAGCATGTATTAGGCCCTGAGCATCTGGACTGTGTGCATGTCGACTGTCTCTGTAGAAGGAATCTTTTCAATGTAACACCACTGTTGCCATCAAAAAATCCTTCCCACCTCTCAGACCATTATAGTAGTTTTCTATTGGTCCACAATAAATTACCACAAACTTAGTAGCTTAAAACACTGCCCACTTATTATCTGTCAGTTTTTGGAGGTCAGGGGTCCACACAGCATAGCTGGGTTATCTGTTCAGTGTTGCACAAGCCTGAAATCAGGATGTTGGCAGAACTGCATTCTCATCTGGGGCTCAAGGCCCTTTTCTAAGCCCATTCAGGTCATTGGCAGAATTCAATTTTTTTGTGTTGGAGAACTGAGGTCCCTGTTTTCCTGCTGACTGTCAGCCTGTGATCTCTCAGCTACCAGAGGCTGCCCTTAGGTCATAGCCACGTGGCTCTCTGACTCCTTTATAGAATAGCATCTTACTTTAGAGCCAGCAGGACAATTTTTCTTCTGTCTGCCAAGATGGAGTTGTATAATGTAACTCAGTCACAAGAGGGGCTATCCCGTCATGTTCACAGGTACCCACACTTAAGTAGAGGAAGTAGTACAGAGTGTGCACACTAGGTGGCAGGCATTTCAGAACTCTGCCCGCCATAGCCATGTGCTATCTTAGGCATATTCCTGGCCTACCGTTTCTCACCAACCCATCAGTGTCAATGCGGACTAGCATTCCAGGGGAGATGTGGTGGAGATGTGCTCCAGCCTTGTCCCCAGTGCTCTTGCTATGTGTAGTCCCTAGATGATCTCATCCTTATGTGATTGTAAACTACCATCAACCTGTTGGTGACCTGCACATCTATCCGTACTTCAAACCCACTCTTCTCTCATAAGCTATCAGTCTCTACACTTCCAGCCTGATGGCCTGTCCACCCTGGAATCCCTTCAGCACCACAATTTTCCCAGATGTCAAAGGACACTCTGTAACGTCTTCAACCTGTTTCTAATTTCATAGTCTGTCTCTTAGTTGGTGACACCATGTATAATACCTAGAAGCTTGAATGGCATATTTGTTCTTACTTCTTCAAGCTTCTTATTTTAAAAATTACCAAGTTATGCTAATTTTAGATCATAAATTGTCCTAAAAACTCTTCTCTTGGTCTTTCTGCTGTTGTCCTAAGTAAGACCCTCATCACCTGTCTACTTAGTCTTTCAGCCTCTATCTTCTGCAACAAAAGGGTCCCTTTCATTTGTAAAGAAGATCATGAAACACTGATACTTAAAAACCTCAATGGCTCCAGAGTCCTAAATGAAGGACTGCAACTTTCTTTACAAAGCATCAAGGCCTTCAAAGACCTAGAATTTGCCTATAAAGGGAGTTTCACTTTCTCATTTCTGTGCCTCTCATGTACTTCACAGGAGGGATTAGAGTAAAACTTTCTCATTCTTGTATAAATCATGGTATAATAATCACCTTCATATATAATTGCCAATAAATATTTTCAAATATTTACTGACCCTGAACATGGATGTTTCATGTTTTTGTCATCATTTTAAATAATAAACCAGTTCATTGAGATAATTTAATAATTAATTGGTGTCACTTTTGTAAAAATTACCTTTTAATCCAATAGGAGTAAGCCTTTGAAACAATCCTTGATGGTAAGTAGGACCTGCATATTCCGACACTCTCATCTGAGCTCTTAACCTCCACCTTAGGAACTTCCTGGTAGACAATCTGATATTCTTCTTGGGATGATTCTCCAGTCTTCTATCTCACTTCATAATAAAGTAGAGCCATCCATGTACATGTCAGGGGAGATGATCAGACCAGGCTGGCTCAAAAGAACACAGAGTAAAGCAAAGCTGATTCTAGACTTAGAGTTTCTGACATGACTTCATATTCATTTCACTTATTAACGCTCACTCAAATCCAGTTGGACTTAATAATGAAAGTTTTTTTTCCTGTGCTTGTTCCATTTTCCAGTAGCAACACAGACACAGACACACACACATGGCCCCAAAATACATTTTACCTCTTGAATGAGAAGGGTTACAAGAGCAAACACATTCTGACAAAATACAAATTCCAACATATCTCAAAATAATAAGAGCTATTTATGACAAACCCATAACCAATATTATATGGAATGAGTAAAAACTGGAAGCATTCCCTTTGAAAACTGGTACAAGACAAGGATGCCCTCTCTCACCACTGCTATTCAACATATTATTGGAAGTTCTAGCCAGGGCAGTCAAGCAAGAGAAAGAAATAAAGGGTATTCAAATAGGAAGAGGGGAAGTCAAATTGTTTCTTTTTGCCAATGACATTTTCATAATCCTATACCTAGGAAATCCCATGTTCTCAACCTAAAGCCTCCTTAAGCTGATAAGCAACTTCAGAAAGTCTCAGACTATAAAATCAATGTGAAAAAGTCACAGACATTGCTATACACAAACAACAGAAGAGCAGAAAGCCAAATCATGAATCAACTCCCATTCACCATTGTTACAAAAACAATAAAATACTTAGGAATACAGCTAACAAGGGATGTGAAGGACCCCTTCAAGAAGAACTACAAATCACTGCTTGGGGAAAAAAGAACATAAACAAATGGAAAAAGCATTTGATCTTCATGCATAGGAAGAATCAATTTCATAAAATGGCCACACTGTCCAAAGTAATTTATAGGTTCAATGTTCTTCCCTTCAAACTACCAATGGCATTCTTCACAGAATTAGAAAAAAAAAAACTACTTTAAATTTCATATGGAACCAAAAAAGAGCCCATATAATCAAGAACATTCTAAGCAAAAAGAACAAAGGTGGAGGCTTCATGCTACTTGACTTCAAAATATACTACAAGGCTACAGTAACCAAAACAGCATGGTACTGGTACAAAAACAGACACATAGATCAATGGAACAGAATAGCAATCTCATAAATAAGATCACACTTCAACAACCATCTGATCTTCGACAAACCTGACAAAACAAGCAACGAGAAAATGATTCCCTATTTAATAAGTAGTGTTTGGAAAACTGGCTAGCCATATGCAGAAAATTAAAACTGGACCCCTTCCTTACATATTGTACACAAATTAACTCAAGATGGATTAATGACTTAAATGTAAAAACCAAAACCATAAAAACCTTAGAAGAAAATCTTGGCAATACCATTCAGGACTCAGGTATGGACAAAGATGTTATGATGAAATTGCCAAAAGTAATTGTAATGAAAGCTAAAACTGAAAAATGGAACCTAATAAAACTAAACAGCTTCTGCACAGTAAAAGAAACTATCATCAGAGTAAACAGGCAACCTAGAGAATAGAAGAAAAGTTTTGCAATCCACTCATTTGACAAGGATCTAATATCCAGAATTTATATGGAACTTAAACAAATTTACAAGAAAGAAAGAAACAACCCCATCAAAAAGTGGGCAAAAGACATGAACAGACATTTCTCAAAAGAAGACATTTATGTGACCAACAAACATATGAAAAAACACTCAACATCACTGATCATTAGAGAAATGCAAATCAAAACCATAATGAGATACCATCTCATATTAGTCAGAATGGCGATTATTAAAAAGTCAAAAAGCAGTAGATGCTGGTGAGGCTGTAGAGAAACGGGAATGCTTTTACACTGTTGGTGGGAATACAAATTACTTCAACTTTTGTGAAAGACAGTGTAGCAATTCCTCAAGGATCTAGAACCAGAAATATCATTTGACCCAGCAATCCCATTACTGGGTATATACTCAAAGGAA